GACTCAAATATGGTCTACGCAGCATGTCCTCCAAGTCCTGGCTGGCAGAAGCCTTCTGACCCTGACGTGCCAGGCTCTCCTTCTGTTTCCATTCAGAATCAAAGACTTTCTTATCCAGTTTATGGATCGCCTAATCGCTCCCAGCATATCACTGGCTTCCACCTGCTACTTTGGAAATTATGAGGTTCCTTGGCAGACACAGGAGCAATTATTGCCTGCTTAGATAATAAACAGAATCAGATAATGGCTGCTTTGGTGTTTGATTAGTCATCCAAATTTAGTTCTTATAAAGGCAGGAAACCCTTTTCCACAAGGCTTGGTATTAATATTTTTTTCTGTTATGGATGACATATTTCACGCAATTGTCATTTGCTATGCAAGACTTGCACAATTACCTATTTATGTAATTTGTATGTGCTACATACTACTGTCATTTGTCTGAGACTGCATTAACAACTAGACTTCCCTGAGGGGGTACTGAGTTAGGGGTGACATTCACCCAAACTCTGTCCTTGGGAGCACTAATCAGTGCCTGACTGCATGAAAACTAGCTGTAACTCCTGTTATTATCCACAAGCAAAATAAATAAAATCACCAAATTATATAGGTAAGTCTAAGGTCATATAGAAGCAGATGTTATACTTGACTTAAAATATGCAGTTAAACTTTTTATGGTTTGATTTAAAATTTAAAATTAAATATTTTAACAACTCTAGATACTTGACATTGAAGTAATGACATTATGTATTGTAGGACGTTATGTATTACTAAGGCTGACTGTCCTTGTAAGGCACTTCAGTAACAGTGCATAACTTAACTAGAGATGAAAATCCCTAATTGCCAAATGTGTGGACCAGCACACTTGGCTTTCATGAAGTAAATACAGAGGGAGATGCTGCTGCTGAATTGATTAGCAGTAGCAAATACAAGTCATAAACAGGATGGAGATTTCCATTCTTCTCATGTCACAGTGATGTGTCCCCTAAGCCAGAGACTTTATGGTCTAAAATAAAGACAAAAGGTAGATATCTATTTCTGGGGGTTTGATGTAATCCAGGAAATATGCTAGTACATAGGCAATGTTCCCCTAATGACATACCCCAGACTGATTTGAAATGTCATTGGTGTAGGATAATTTTAGATAATTTTCTATTTGGAAAAGATCAGGTTAAACCTGATCTCACTTGTATGTCAGTGACCCAAAAGCACTTGCCTGGGAAACCCGCAGTTTTTGTTTTGGTTTTATTTTCTGTTGAAGAGGGGAAAGGAATTTTTGGTGCTTACTGTAGGTCCCTGGAGGCTATACCTATACATGCAAGAAGTTCAGTGCCATAGGAAGAGATCCAGCTGGTGCTGAGGATTTGATATGGGCAATTTTTCCCCTTTTCAGGTGAGCTTTACTTCAAATTATCTCTGGTCTGGAGCAAAGAACAAAATGGTCGTAGGAGCTGGAAGGCAGTAGATGCGTTCCTCAATCCCATCTTCCAGTTTGGCTTAATTTGAAAAGAATCTGATTAATTTGAAAAGAATCTTCCAAGACCTTTCCATCATATGAAACAAGGCACAATTAAGTGGCAGCAATTGCAAGATCTGCCTTCACATTCATGATCTGAACTAAGCTCACTCTGTATGAAAATAAACACAGCTGCACTGAAAGGATTCATTTTATGTCAATCCCGTACTTTGGGATTTGGCTATAAACTCCTTAGTAAGCCCAAAATGTTGCAACTTGCCCCATAGCCGCTTCAGTACAAATGCCTGGATTTATTATTTCATTGGTTTTAATGTTTCACAGATTGCTAGAAAATAAATTCAGAACACCCTGATCTAATTTACTAATTGGCTTAAAAATCACCTCTAATAAACTATGTAATTGCACAGGGAAATGGTGATTTCAGTCCAAGTGTATTATTCTGTGTGTATAACTCCTTTTTCTGTGATGTTCACATTCAGATGCTACTGAGGTTTTATAGCATGCTGTATGTTAACTAAACTGCCTGCTCACCGAGCATTAATAATATTTGCATGTGTGCAATATTTAAGGAAATACGAATTAATTTTGGCTGATTTTTGTCAAACAAGCAAATCTAATCCAGTTTGATCTTGGATGACAGAGTGGCAGTTTAATATCCTTTCTGACTTAATGTAACTAGCTTGCTATAAAAAAAAAAGAAACAGTTTAAATCTAACAGATATTTTTTTTCCCAATCTTTCATTGCATTTTCTATAAATCAGTGTAAAAGCAGAGTGATAAAAATTATCATTATCTGGAAATTACCTTGACTGAAATCTGAAGCATATAGCTCAGCTTGAGGTACTGGAACTAGAGCAGTCAAATGTTGTTCCAATTAAAAATTATAAATTAGAGCTGCTAGTGTGTGGGACTGCCTGCCTGATGAACGATCCTACTTTCATATACATATATAAAAAGGTTATTGAGTTCCTGAACTCATAGAGATTAAAGCAAATAGACTCTGTCTCATAGGGTCTCAAGAGAAAAACAAGCACTTTGAAACCACTCTCCTTAGGATGTGATACTGTGGCTGAATCTCCTATCAGAGGAAAATTTACCCTCTCGTTTGCAGATATAAGAAGGAAGGAATAGCTAACCAGTTAGGAAACTAATGGTCTCAGAAGACCCAATTATTTAAGAAAGTTTGTTGGTGTGCAGGAGTCACTAGTTCAAGCTCCTCTTCTCCTCATACAGACCAGCTATGTGTGTGGCAGTTTTCTTGGGCGGATTACACTCTTCTGGCCTGGGTCTTCCATGCTCAATTAGTCCAGTCCAGTCCAGGAAATAATTTAAATTCTCATTTTCAAGAGGTGATTTCTCTCTGTTCCCCAGACTCCCCTGAATCTTAGAAACCATCCCTAAAGCTGATACATTTCTATGAGTGGCAGTATTGATGGAACAATATATTCCTGTGAGAACACTTTTTGCCAAGCCAACTGTACTTGGGCTTTTATCTTTCACCTCTCAGATATATTATTGCAATCTATCTGATGAGTTGAGCAGACTTTCCCACATAAGGTCAGATTCCTCAGTAGCGATGGTTTCAGGGTCACTTTTCACTTAAATGAACATTCAGTTTCTGAGATACAGCTAGAAACCAGCTTTAATGAAGAATTTGCCATTGTGCAGTCAATAACCAAGCTGAGTACTTTATATCTGGAACATAAGGTTACCTGATGTTTTTATTAGAAGGGACATATGTGATGATGTGAGACTTTTTCAAAGCAGCGGATTCTCTCAGCTTGAAGCTCTGTGTCAGAAACCACTGAATAATCCCTCCCCATGAAACTTTTCCCTTTGTACCTAGCACTTCACCATGACCCCATGGATTCCCAGACTCGTCTCAGTTTGCATACAGCTTGTCTGCAACATTACTTGAATGTGTTACATTCTGAACACTGATGTACTCTAAATTTGTCAAAATACTGTGGCTAGACAAGCTTAAAATCAAAATAGGAAAGCAAAGAGAAAAGCTCTTGATGATGGAGATGGAGCTGCTGCTACGAAAGCATCAAATTAAGCATAGTAAATTTATGTCAAAAACTAATCTGCTCCCCAAGCTGTAACTGAACACTTCGTGGAAAGCTACTTTGGTAGCTGTGGTGGAGGATTAGCTCACCGTGCTCTCCTGAGGTGGTGTCTCCTGGAGCAGGTGCCCCTGCTCTGCATCACCTCATTCCTATGATACCCTTGCAGGGTAAGCATGGCCCTGCATGCAGATGAAGCTTCAAAGCACTTGCTAGGAAAGTCTGCTTTTCCTTCATTCTGGCTAATCAATTTAGGGAAGCTTATTGTTGTGCACTTTGCTGTTTGTGCATATGCAGATGAAGCCTTGTTCAAGCTTGTCTGTGACTGGGATAGACAAAGCCCTTTTGATGTGTTGATTTTTCATACCCTGCTCATCCTCCTGCTTAGAAGCTGTTTGGATTGCAATCTTTTTGACTCATCCCTTCTTGGACACAGAGTTTGCGCTGTGTATCTTTTCATGGTGCCACAGCACTTTATAAAGGATTATGTATAGGATGTTCCTGATTGATAGTCTTGCAGTGTGTGATAAATTGCCGAGTCTATACAGAGGTTGCATGATGTGTATTAAGAATCCTGGTATCAATGTGGTATTTTGCTTGCTGCCCGCCATTGCAATTTTTTTGAATTCCTGTCAGTCATAATGTGTTCTGTTCACCCTTCCAAGCAATGTCTGCTTGGAAGAGCAACTACATATCTCTTCCTGCCTCACTATAACAAACACTTCCATATATATCCATATATACAGGTTCAAATAGAGCAAGGTGTTAAGTGGGAAAACCAAAGAGGCTCATAGAAGATGAACTGGCCACATGCTGTACCTTTAATTAAGCACGAAATTTTGATATAGGGTGTGCTTGGGGGGGGATGTACAGTGGGGTCATTTCATGTAAATGTTGGGAAGAGTGTTTAGACCGCATTAAATAAGAGTTTTGAAAGGTGAATGGGTATAGTAACGAATAATTTATATTGCCCATAACTAGAAGGTTGTGTAATGGCAGTAGCTGTAGAGAATTAGAAGGTTTTTTGATAGATGGATAGGTAGATAGATTAGATAGATAGATAGATAGATAGATAGATAGATAGATAGATAGATAGATAGATAGATAGATAATGGGGAATGGAAGTTAGAGCAGATTTCCAAGCATTTTAAAGCTGCTGCTATTTAACCGCACAATCAATAGTTCTGAAAAGGGAAAGGCATTTGCCATGCTAATTGCAATTCACATGTGGGGGTGTACTGAGTGGGTGGAAGAGTTAGTTGTTTGCTTGCTGAGGGACTTTTCAGAGCTGCTGAAGTTCTGATACTCGTAATTCTTTTTATAAAACAATTATCCGCTGAGCCCTTGGCTGAGAAGAACACAGGAATAATTTCTAAATCACAGAAATCAAGGAGGGTGGTACTTCCTCAGGTAGTGATTTTCTGGCAGGTTTTGCTGGTTGTCTCAGTGCTCCCACTGAGAGGAGAGATGTGATGAAGAGCTGCCAACCGTGGAGCCTGCGGGACTGACAGTCTTTGCTAGCCTTTAGAGGTATGCAAGACCCATCTCTTCATCCCGAGTTTTGTCAAATATGTCCTGTCTTTACCTATGTTCTGGTATCTACTTTTTGATTTCTGAATAATAAATTGATATTTTTACCTGTGGCATGACCTGAATCTGCCAACCTTTTTTAACCTGATTAGTGCACTACTCTGTGCATGCAGGTGTGTTGGCCCCAACTGAAATACTTGCAGAATAGAGGACAAATCAGTGTGACAGAGAATGACAAAACTGGGCTCTTTTCTCCTCTATCCCTCCTTAAGCAGGGGCGAATGTTCCCTGGACTCCACAAACTGACTCCACAGCATTAAAACATGTGTGTTTTAATGTGTATTAAATGTATTTAATGTGTATAAGTCTAAAGTGCAGAATCATTTTGGGGAAGAGGAGGAAGAAAATTAATTTAATGTTCTGATGCTAAGTCTTGTTAATGCTAATTCTCAAAAGTGCCACTGATCTCTAAGCATGTGAGAGTAAGGAATAGCAAAGTCACCTAACTCCTGCCACTCTGAAATCTGCTGCTGATGTCCCAGTGTTACCTGGGCTGTTTAGATACAAACTGGGGTTGAATGTGGTGTTGAGTACCTTGTGTACTCAGATGCAATTCTTAATTGGGTCTGGGTGAGAATTTCTGCTTTACACAGGATAAAATACAAAATTCTGTGGCATGGAGATGTCACAGACATACAGTTTTAAACTTCTGAACTAGGAATTGTAAAAGATCAAATAGTAATACCACTGTTCTTTTTCAATTTTTCTTTAACAACTAACAGATGAGTGGCTACTATTGTTATATATGCTTTTATTATTAACAAAGTATGAAATTTCTTTTCTAAGTCAATTTGGAATTAGAGCAAAATTTTTCATTTCCTAGAACAAAATATTTTTTTCTGAAAAAAAGAAGGCCAAACCGGAAACTTTTTATTATCTTCTGCCAAATTCAACAAACAATTATTAGACAAAAAAAGAGGGACAACCTTGAAAAGGTAATAGATTTTCGCTTTCCATTTCAGTATGGGATTCTGGAACTAATTTTAGCACATTCAACATTTCAAATAAGTATGTAAAGGACTGTGTTATCTGTCTCAAACATTACTGTCACACCACCACCATTTCCTGGCCTTGGCATCCTGTCGCCGTGGAGGAGACAAATTGTATGTAACAGTACCACGACATCTGCCCAAAGTTAAATCCAGATAAGGAAGATGTGCAGGCTGGCACAGGACCATGGGGTGGCATATATTACAATGAGCTCTGTGGGAATGAGTGGGCTCTTCAGAGAGATCGTGGGGACTGGGGCATAAAAAGACTGTGTACTCCTCTTTCGGGAGCACTATTCACTCTTGTCATCTCATCCTTCCTCGAAGCTGGGACTTTGGCGGAGCTTGGAGCTTGGAGCACCAACACGTGCACCAAGACTGAGCCAGCAGGACATCACTGGATTCACTGTGGTGGGAATTGGTCTCGCTGCATCTCTACCATTTGCTTGCTTAGGGATTTTGACTTTTCTTTTCCTCTCTGTCCTAACGCTGTTATCACTTATTATAGAAAATTAAGTTTACAAGGTTGTATGGCATCTGACCTCGTTTGTGTCTTAATCTCACTCTTGGGATTGATTAAGTACCCTCCCCGATATCAAATCGGGACGTTTTAAATTGGCATCATGGACAGGATCCCTAGAGACAAGAGTGCTGTGCTACCTTGCTGTGTTGGATGCAAACCTCTCAGAATGAAATAACCCCCTTTGTGTTACATTAAGGTGTGACCTCCTGAGTGTGAAAAGGGGGGAGAGTGGACAGTGATACTGCATTTTTGTTTGGGAAAGGTATGACCTCCTGAGAGTGAACAGGGGAAACTTGCATGTTGGAGAACGGCTTGCAGAGAGCAAGACCATAGCTCCCTGCAGGAGCTGGTCGGCCATAGCTCCCTGCAGAAGTCGGTCCCAGCCACCTGAGGTAAACAAAGGAAAGAACCCAGGGTACAGTTATGTAAACAAGGATGAAGACCCAAGGCTCAGTCGTTCTAGCGAGGATTGTTGTGAGAACACAGAGATAAGTTGGGGCGCATTATGACCTTGGGGGTCAGAGGAAAGCAGCCCTGGGAGAGAAGCAGGTCACAGCAAGAAAGATGTTTATGCATACCAGAAATGCCACAAGGGGCTGGGGTATTATAATGTGACTTTTTAGATGTACCCAATGGCTAAGATATTATAATGTAGTTTCTTTACTGTATCCAATAGAGTTACAAGTAGTGTATTGTAGACTGCTTATATAAGGTGTGATTTCTTTCAATAAAGTTGAAGCTTGCTCTATCATTCACATTGAATCGGCTGCTTGCTTCCTCCGCCCGCCGCACTTGCATACCAAGGTCTGGCCCTCTCAGGATTAAAACCCCTTTGAGTTGCTTTTGTGTTAGATTCAGATATGGCCTCCTGGGAGAGAACAGGGGAAATCTGACATTAAGGTGTGACCCTCTCAGGACGACGATCCCCTTTGCATTAGGAAAGGAAAAAGAATGGCCACCCAGAGGGCAGCCGATGCTTTTGATGATGTGCTCTCACAGGTTGAAGGAATAGATAAATTATATGATCTTTTGGAGGTGCACTGATCTTGCTCCTCAGTCCAGGGACAAGACTGGGTGAAAACCCACTGTTTTCAACTGCCGAGTGTGGTGGATAAGATAAGGGTACTGTGGAAGGAAGCTAAGGTTAGGAGGGGGAAAGGAAAAGCTATAATTTGTGCAGTGTTAGAAGTGAGTCTGGCAGCTGCAGTGGAAGAGAGAAAGCAGAAGTCTTGTCAAACTGATACTGTAATAGACTCCCTGCAGACTGCCGTACAGACCCTCCAGGAACAATTGAAAGAAACCAAAGAATTACTAGAGGAGGAAAGGAACCAAAATGTAATATTGAAGAACGCGTTGAGGGAACAACTTTTGACAGAGATGGATACACTGGTGGAGGCAGAAGTGAAGCTTTTGGAGAAGGAGATACAACATTTATCCCCAAGGAGATTCGCAGAAGGCAAAAGAAACCTTAGAAAGCGTCCCCCATATGTATCCGCTGGTTAAAACAGAGTATGTGTACAAGGATGATAGTGATAACCATCCTCAGGTTATCACCAAAGAAGTCCCATTTACAGCAACGGTATTGGCAAAGCTGAGAAAAGATTTTGCAAGGACTGTAAAAGAATCAGAGACAGAGTATGTTTTTGAGAGTCTTTGTCAGGAGGGGATGGGATTTTGTTGTCAAAAAAGCAGAAGGGGTCTGGGTGTGTTTCTAACTACTGGTGACCGCTGAGCCCAATGGTCATTGACTCAGAGAGCTGTGTACTGGGCCGGAGGGCTGAACTCCTTGGAGAGGTGAGATCCTCTTGCCATAACAGGTACGGTGGATCAGTTAGTGGAAAGTGTGCAGAAGGCAGCCTGTCTCCAGATGATGTATGATTGAGAGGGAGCTCAAGCCCAACCAGGGCTCCCCAATGATGATGCTTGTGGACTTGGAGAGGATGACTCCCCTGATATGAGGACTTCCTGACTCCCAGAAACCCATTGGCATTCAATTGCAAGGGAAGATGAAAAACACCCCCAATGGAGAAAGAATGACGGCCGCTCTGGAGGGTATAGTGACCCCTGACCATCAACAGCCAGGGAGGAAAGTATGGACATGGGGAGAGGTAGCCCCGGAATTGATTAATTTTGGGAGAAAATATGACCCTGTTGGTGGATCATCCCAAAGAACTGAAACCAGGGTCATACAGGCTACAGAGCAAATTATTGGGTGACAGGTATCCATGAGGAAGGGCCAAGGCTTGGGATCACCCTAAGAACAGAATTCTGGGAGAGAAAGGCCCCTAACTCAACAAGGACTGTGGCAACTAGAGCTTCAGAGAGGCATTCCCCGGGACTTGATGGACGAACTCCTGACTTAAAAAATAGAACAACTTGTGCAGAACTGGCAGAGGGTGAGGTCAGTCGTCTCCTGCCTGGCCTGGAGGACAGCTCGCAGGTGGCACATCTCCACCCCCATGCAGTTCATCTCATTTTCCAGGAAAACCCATCTTGGTCAAACCCCACACAGTGGGCAAAGTGCCACTGGTGTTGGACACACCCCTTAATAAATACACCTCGAAGGCAAAAGACGCCTATGGAAAAACATAAGATTCACACTAGATGGATTGTTCCCTCTTTCTAATCCAAGAAGCGAATTTGGGTTTTGTTTCACTTTCAGGAGAAAGCAAGCACACAGATGCACCCACAGAAGAAGTGAAGCGGATGCAGATTTTAGTGTAAATTGGTTAGGATGTGTATGTCAATTTTTGCTATATTTTGGGGGGGATTTACATATAAGAGTGAAGGGAAGCAAATTCCCCCACCTCCCCCCAGCCCATATGATCCCTTTGAGGATAATGAATTCATTTTGTTAGCAAAAACTGTAAGCCAAATCTTTAATCTAAGTCACCGTTGGGTTTGTGAAGGATCTCTAGGATTATCAAGCTGGCCATGGGTCCCTACACCCCTTACTCCAGCACAAATTGTAAGCAATTATAGTGAGACTGATAACACCACCTGGGATGATAGTGGAACAAGGCCAATTCAATTTCCTACTATGGGTCAATATTGCTTAAATTGCACTCAGGAGGAAGGGGTCAATGTGGGGGAAAGTATCAATGGACACTCACACATAAATTGGTTAACAAAGATAGAGGTGTTTACATATGGATGTGGCTTGATGAAACTAGATGAAACAAAGGGTTTAAAGGGTTTTGGTCAAACAAAAATGAAACGTTATTTGTCCGAAGGCCTGGAAACCATATTTACCATCAAATTTGTAAGGGGAAGAACCACACTGGTGCCTGGTATTGTACTGGCCAGACAAAATTAGCCCAAACAGCTTTTTCAGCCCTTTGGGAAATGAAAACACAACTTATTTCCAATTCCCAAAGGTTGCAGCTGGACCATTTGCTCAAGGTGCCAAAGCCAGAAAAGGCCATTATTGGATTTGTGGACATACTGCCTACAAACAACTACCAGCAAACTGGTCGGGGATTTGTTATATAGGGGTTATCCAACCTCTGTTTTTCCTTCTTCTGGAGGCGGGTGGTCCTCATTTGGGAATAAGACTATATGATAAATTAGGGGACAAAAGGATTGTCTGCAGTAAGTGATCTGTTGAGTTTGAAATAGGTGGAACACAAAAGTGGGGGGGAAATGAATGGCCTCCCGAAAGAATAATTAAGCATTATGGGCCTGCCACTTGGAATCCCAGTGAACCAATATCAGTGGCAAGAGAACCAATTTATAATTTGAACCGCATAATTTGACTACGAGCAGTCTTAGAAATTATTACCAATAAAACTGCTAATGCTATAGACCTTTTAACTCAACAATCTCAACAGATGTGTACTGCAATCCTTCAACATTTTTTATTTGTCTTTGTCTAAATTTAGGATAGATGCTTTTATGCCTAAACCACACATAACAGCCACCTTTTTCCCCTCCCTGTCCCCAAAGACCGGGAGCACATCCCTCAACCAAGCCTGAGACACATCTTGTTTGTTTAGTTAAAAAACTGTTGGTGAGTAATGTTACTGTTACCTTTTTATATGTTTATTTAGAATATTGTTAACATTGTTATGAATAGCGGTGGTGTTTGTTTACCTTTGTTTAAATCTGGGATAGAAGTTTCTAGACCCAAACGACACATGTGCTTTAGGATAAAGGGGGTGTGGAAAGCTATTTTCCTTCCACGCATGCTGACCCCAACTCCAGCAGACCAGAGCAGCAGACCGCGTGGACTGCCAGGGCCTTAGACACCTTGTGGTATTTTGTTAAAACTGTGGGAAAAATGGAACAAATGTTAGGATTAATCTTAATTCACTTTGCAGTCTTTGACTTGTTAGCCATTATCTTAATTGTTATTGTAATACTTCTTTTTTATCCCTGTGAATGTCAACCATGTAAACTGCTGTCATGTTCTTCTGCTGATTCATCAGAGCCTTAGAATTGGTTTATAAGATGTTTTGGTTTGATAAAGTTAGTTAGTTTTGAGCATGCTATATTTGTTCAAGATGTTATTGGTTATGTTTGTTAAAGATGTTCACATTTGTTATTGATTAAAAAAATGATGGATATCTTGTTTGTTATTGTATTGCGCGCTATTTCTGGCCTTTCTCTTTTTCTCTCTGTACTGTTATCTTTCATGGCACCACAAAGACAGCAATGTTGAGCCACGGGGTGGTGTAAGGGACTGTGTTATCTGTCTCAAACATGGCTGTCACACCACCACCACCATTTCCTGGCCTTGGCATCCTGTTGCTGTGGAGGAGTACTCTGAAGGAGACAAATTGTCTCCAATGGGGCCATGCCATCTGCCCAAAGTTAAATCAGGATGAGGAAAAGATGCAGGCCAGCATGGGACCACGGGGCAGCATGTGTTACAATGAGCTCTGTGGGAATGGGTGGACTCTTTGAAGAGATCGTGGAGACTGGGATTATAAAAGGACTGTGTACTGCTCTTTCGGGAGCACAATTCACTCTTGTCATCTCATCCTTCCTCGAAGCTGGGACTTTGGTGGAGCTTGGAGCTTGGAGCACCACCACGTGCACCGAGACCGAGCCAGCAGGGCATCACTGGACTCGTGGTGGTGGGAATTAGTCTCGCTGCATCTCTACTATTTGCTTGCTTAGGGATTTTGACTTTTCTTTTCCTCTCTGTCCTAACGCTGTTATCACTTACTATAGAAAATAAAGTTTACAAGGTTGTATGGCATCTGACCTTGTTTGTGTCTTAATCTCACTCTTGGGATCATTTAAGAACCCTCCCCGATATCAGATTGGGACAAAGTAATAAAAGGGTCATAAAAGAAATAATTAATCTCAATGTATTTTAATAATCTCCAGCTTTACCCTGATCTGTTGTATCACAGTAACATGTATTTATTACTTGCAGCAGTATGTGAACATGATAACCCTGAAGTACAGGATATATCTATACTATGATCTTATAATGTTTGCATTGCCTTGCACCAACATGCTGCATAAAGGTGGATCCTTTTCTGTAACATTTGGGGAAAGCTGGAACAATTTAGCTGATTCCAGTGGCGTTAGTTAGAATATATCCAGGAGAGACTGTTAGCACAACCCAACCGATACCAGAAAACCTGGTGTTTCATGATGAAACAAGGAACAAGAATTTAGGATAACTGCATGATAGTACATAGTGGTGTAATGTTATGAACGGAGTCTTCCTTTGCTTCCCTTTCAGGGGGTTTCAGGAGTCTTGCTGTTAATATTATTTATTTGTATTTCAATAGCATTCAGTATCCCTAAGGAGGACTGAGACCTGGTTGTTCTGGTCATGAAGTGAGTGTGGTAAGAAGAGGGACCAGGCAAATGGGAACCACAGGGACAATCTAGCACAGGGGCAGTTCAGTACCTGTGCTCCAAAAAGCTACCTGCCTTGCAGGTTCCAGGTGGAGTGCCTCAATTATGCTTATGGTTTTAAAAAAATATGGCTTTCACCTGGATATTTAACATGGAACTGAGGAGTTTTGTAAGCACTGATCCTGCATACTGATCCCCAGATGATAAATCTCTGGCTGTGAGCTCTTGGGTAAGAGTTTGGAGATTTCCTAGTTTGGTTTGTAACAAGATAAATGAACTCCAAGTACTTAATGAGCTAGTAGTGGATCATTACATCCTCTGTAAATATTGAAAAAAACCCCAAACAAATAAATACAATGGATGCCACTTTAAAAAAAAATAATCAACATTGATGAATTGCAACAGATACTGAAGAGCGGCAAGGTTTCTGTTTGAGGAAATGCTCCAAATGAGCTCTAGTAAGGTGTGTCTTACAATCTATAATACATGGCAATGTGAGACTCCTTTAAAAGTCACATCAGTGAGGGCTCATCTGTTTTCTTGAGGCTGGTCCAACTGAGTCAGAGGCAGCTCAGGGTGGAGGCAGCACACCTGGTTTGGGAGGAGCAGGCTGTACCATACGAGTCTGGGCAGGCTTGCTCAGATCAGAGGTCCAGGTAGTTGTGTCCATGTGATACGGAGCTTGAGTTAATGAACTGACAAGGCTGCTAGCTTGGACGAGGTGCAGACGTGGTACTTCTGATCCTGGACATGGATTGTCTGGAGTGGAGTGCTTGAGCGCCAAATGAACTTTCTGACTGAAACCCCCTGGGCGCAAAATTATATTTTCCAATTAAAGTTTATTTCCTCTGAAAATTTCAAACCAATTATCCCAATCTCCTGTTAGTTTAAGCATGTAAAAATGTTTCTATGAGAAGATATTATACCAATGGCTATCCAGCCACCTTAGCCTGAGGTTTGTCATGCTTTCCTTATTTGCACTTAATCATAACTTCATTATTTCTAACAGATTCTTTGAAAGTTATTGTTCGTATGCATTGAAAGATCTGTAGAACTCATTACAAGATTATAAGGTTAATCTGCACACCAGTACAAAGATTCTTCTTTCTAAAAACTCTGATTATTTCTTATGTCTTTCACAGGCATCCATGCATTACTGAGGGTGTGACTAATGCTATTCCTGACTAACTCTACAGGCAGGTGATTTCCTTCAACTTTCCTTAGCTATGTGTCTACTTTTGAATAAAGCAAATTCACCCTTTTGACAGACAGATATTAATACTTGGTTTAAACAACCTTAAGGCTGTGATATAAAATTCAGGCAGTTGACATCATCTCCTTTAATCACATGGCTTTTTGTCTTGGCCCATGCTTGGCGTGCATTTTCATATTAACTGATTTCGACAGTTCATCTTTCACCTTTAGGAAACCTGATGATCTCTTCCACTATGGGCCTGCTCACGGGGGTAGCAGTATCTTGTGACAATACAAAAAGTATGTACCGAACACGTGTACACCAGGTGGATAACATGTCAGTGATTTTAAGGAGTATAGCACCTGCTCTTCACTTCTGGCTACTTTCTGTCACAAGTTGGGTGGAATTTGGGAAGGCATATACAAATTAAATAAAAAATGTAAGAAGCTGGTTAAGTGAGATTTGAACTTTGGAGAATAAAAGTATACAGCGATACTTTTGATGCTCAGATATTAGAAATATATTAGAAA